TCAAACCTCTTGGCCAATGACAATCTGCACTTGCAGCCGCTCCCCAGCGCCAGCACCTCCGCCATAGCTCCCGCGACAGATCACCTCAGATCACCAGGCACCAGACTGTAACAGGAAGCAACGTAGATCCCTGCACGTGCAGTCCACAGTAGGGTTTGTGCTCCTGTGAGAATCCAGTGCTCCTGATCTGACAGGCAGTGGAGTCCCCACAGTGATGTCAGAAATTTGCAGCGTCCTCAAACACTGATGAAGCCCCGCCGGTCTGCCCACCGCCCATATCCCGCCAAACGGTGTGGGCCTCCAACAGGCCACAGACGGGCACCTGGGGTTGGGGACTGCCATTCTAGAGGTCTGTCCTGATGGAGATTTGATAATTTATGTCACAAAATTCTACTGATGGTCTCTTACTTCCTTTTCGAATTCCTTCACCTCTTCTAGAATCTGGAAATGCTCCTGTGGAATTAGGAGACTTACATGTTACTCTTTGAATTTATTTTATCAATCTTTTAAGATGGGGTGGTAAATAGTTTTTTTTAAAATCCTTTTGAGGTATCTAGCCACGTGGTCTTGGGTATAGAGGTGAATTAAGACTGGCCCCTGTCTGAAAGGAATTTAGATGCACCAAGCAGAAACACCTATGAGATGAAATGCCCCGTTTGTATTGTAGATAAAGAGCTGTGACTGGTGTGTATTTTGGATGGAGGGAGGGAGAAGAGTTTTGAGCTGTGCCCTGAAGAATGGGCAGCATTTGCTAAAAGGGCATGGACAAGGCATTTCAGATTTATTCAACACGTGTTTATTAAAAATAAAGTTGGCCCTGCCAACTATGGGCCGGGCTTTGCACTAGGAACTGGGACCTAATAATTATCAAATGAAATGGATTTGCCCCCATGGAGCTCGTCTGGTGGATAAGACAGATATTAAGCAAGAAAGTACAGAAGGATATAATTAACAGGGGAAGTCTAGGTTAAAGGGCCAGCATGTGCAAAGTTCCTGACATGAAAAAGAGTGTAGAGGCACTGGCATAAAGAAAGTTGGAGAAGGGACAAAAGATAAGTCAATAGGAAGCTGGAGAGAGAGACAGGGGCCCACACAAATAGTCAGATGGGAGGATGTCATAAAGCTCAATGTTAGCCTTATTTGCAGTGTCTTAATTTAAGAGGACAGTGAAATCCCCCCTCCCCCTTATGACATGTTTGACTCTAAAATAACACTTTTCTGCTCCCTTATGATTACAGGGCTGCCCTCTCACCCGCAGCATGAGTTGGCAAAGCGTCAGTGCACAGGTTGTACAGGGATGGTCACGTTTTATATTAAGGGCACTCTTCAACATGCCGAGACTTTCCTCAAGAACCTAAAGGTAAACTTTCAAAATAGCTTCTTAAATTGTAGAGGCAAGAACTCCTTATAGCAGTTCATTATCTCTCCCTTCTACCCAACCCAGATAGTATTTTTGTACCTGCAGGTCACATCCATAAACCTCTTTGTCATGAAATGCACTGGGTCAAGAAAGACTTAAATACCAATGGCTCAGTGGCAGACATCTAAATATGTTCATTTGCTTAACTGTGCACATACTACAATCAGTTTGAGAGGGAGAATGTTTTAATGCACTGGCGTCCCAATTAATCTAAAAGTAAACCTCTTTTTCAGATGAAATAGGTGAAACCTCAAAGTAGTGTGTAGTTAGTGCACTGCACAAAGGTGTGAAATTCATCCCTCCAATGGCTTTCCAAACCCTGTGTCTTTCAGTCGGCATCTGCCTAGGTTGAGGGAAGAGGAGGCCTTTGTCTAATGTTCACAGAGGCAGGAGGCTCTTGAGAGAGAGGCCTATATACCTTCATATACTGGACTTACCTTAAACTCATGCAGTTTATATACTGCAGGAGTAATAAGTAGAAACCTGCCAGATTAGTCAAAGCCCTCCTGGTGTGACCCGAATTTGATACAGTTGTCAGAGTAATTTTTAAAACATTTGTAAAAGGCAATGGCAGTTAACACTAAATAGAAAAACTTCGTGGTTTTTTTCTTTTCTCTTTTCTTCTGCCGGTGAGGAGTTAAATGGATATATTTAATATGTGATAATAAATGCTATATATTAATAAGTAGGTTTATATAACTTGGTAGACTTTTAGAGATTTTTTTGTTTAAATGGTAACCA